AGTCAGACACAAACTCAGCTGCAGCCATTTTGAATCCACTAAAGCAGTTAGTATTGCCAATAATGCGTTTTTTAATGCTAAAAAATTATGGCTTTTTTCTCGATTGCTTCTTTGTTAACTCGAATTCCTTATGCTGTTCACTTTTAATGTGCAACAACTTCAATTCGCTTTACAATTCATTTTCGAGCAGTTTATTTTCTCTTTTTATATATACAATTTACAATATATATTTATGTTTTTAGTGTTTTTTAAATTTTAAACTTTTGTTAAAACATTAATTTTTGTATATTTTTTTCTCTACGCTGGTTTGTTTTTTTCAGTTTGGGCTGAAACTGGTGATTTTCGTGATAGTCATAGTTCCATGACCGCTGTTGCAAATAGTCTGGAGAGTACGCATTTAAATAATTTCCAAACGTCGTCAGGATCATCTATATCAAATCGAAATCGGGATCGTAAAGATGGTAAGTAAACGAAATATTATTTTATTATTTATTTATTTATTCATTTAAAGGAAAAAAAATATTTAGAGTAATTATGAATACACTTTTTATAGATTTCTGTTCTTAGAAAAGGTTTATATGAATATTAAATAAGAGTTTGTAAATTAGTTTTCCTGTTTTCTATTTTTTTTTATATAAAAATAATTACAACTACGAGTTGTAATAATCTTCCACCTTAAGGAAGATGTCAATTAAACTTTGAAACGTCGGCGAGATTTATATAGATGACTATATAACAACAAAAGTACAAATAAAAAACTAATTTATATGTTGTTCTTTTATATTCATCTAAGCCTTTTTAAAAAAGAACTTAGAAATAAATAAAGACAAAGAAAAAAAAATAAAAAAATTATATTTTACGATAATTAATTATAAAATTATTAAATTACATATTATTAATTATAACTTTATTATATATTCATATATTCCTGTTGAAAAAATCAGCAATAAAAGAAATACATATGATTTACGATAATTAACTATAAAATAGAAGAGTGTTCAGGTAGTTAAATCTTTTGAGCTTATGTTATGGTAGATTGACCTTATATATATCTTTAATTTAGCTATTTAATAGCTTTTATTTTATGAAATACGAAGCTTGCCTCAAATTTTTCGGATAGATTTCGGATAGATCTTAGTTTGGAACATCTACATTCTCATTAGGTCACAGACTTCTAGTAAAGTAACTTTAAGGAAGTTTCTACATCATTTTAAGCAGTTAATTTTGCCAAATCTTAGTATTTAAAGGTTGGCACTAAAACTACAATAACTACAATACAATAGAAGCATATAACATTATTGAAAGAAATACATCTTTAATTTGATTAGAAATGTATAATTTTGATCGTCAATTGATAAAAGAATACAAGATCTTAATTAAGAGAGTTTATTTTTTCACAAATATAACCTTACAGATAATATGAGGGTATTAACATATGCAATATAAACAGTCTATTGATAGCATATCTATGAATTTAATTCCATTATGATCACATATGACTTTTGTTCAAGAGGATGCAATGAAATATAGTCCATCGTTTCGGAAAGTGAATATTCAAAAAAAAAAAAAGGTATAGAAGAAACGTCTGCCATGAAAACGTGTTTACATGTGCTTTAAGACCGTGACCTGCCAAATATTTTGTCTAATGAGTGTAAACAGTTTAATGAGATACAGTATTAAAGTAGATTCTAATTCCAGATCTATAATTTCTGTTTTCTGACATCTTACCTGTCTACGTGGTCTTGCAATTCATTTATCGGCACAAGCAACGTCAAAAATATGAAAAGAATTTTGATAGATTCTACAAAATTCAATTTGAAATAGAAAAAATTAGAATACTATGTAATTAGTTACAAGAAATATGAATATAATAAATTAATGCTTTTATGAAGCATTTATAACAATTTTTCTTTATATTCAATATATGGGTATAGAGTAAAGGCGAGGTTTAAATTATTAATTCTATAAGGAAATTCTAATCTATATTCTTTCTATAAGGATACGCACAATTTTCCAAAGACGAGTTATGCTCTTAAAGATTATAGTTAAGAAAAAATGTGCTGTAATATGAAAAATAATTTTTTAAAAATGTATAGATTCAAAAACTGGGAAGAAAAGTATCGGAAAATTTAGTAAAAAATAATATATATGCCTGATTTAAATATTATAACCAAAATAATATTTAATGCAGTGTATTACCGGGTAATAAGTCGTAAAATACACTGTAAAAGTGAAAACTTGGAAAGGTTAATATTCAAAACTTATGTTTTTAAAATAATTATTTATAAAACTTATAATTTTATTTCAAAAAATATCCTACATAAAGTTTTATGTATTATTTTCCGTCGGCATTTTCCATGACAATTTCAGAACCCAATAAAGCCCAATGAATAACATAAAATATATACATAAAAAAAATTACCAAAAATTATTTTGTTATATATGTGTATATTTTTTTTTATTTTTTGTTTTTTTTTTTTTTTGATGAAGTATTATTTGAATTTATCAAAAAGCGTACCAGATAAAGACAGTAATTTATAACAATTTCATGCAGCAACATTAAAGCAAAGTAGCTTCCAAATTAATGCCTTCAAAAATCAAAAGCCTTTGTCGGTAGATTACCTTTGATTTGTGATTTTGATTTTCGACTCATTCCTGCCAGCACTAATATATCATAGACATATTTATTTATTTATATATTTCATAGCGTTGTTTATTTTTTCCGCGATATTTAGTTTATTTGATTAGACTACTAAGTTGAACGACTAAGTGCCGAAATCGCAGCATATTGATGATGGATGGGATTTTGAACACATTACCGTTTGTGTAGAACCAGAAACTAAAATGGGTTGTTTGCTTTGGCGGCAACGATTGAAATATTTCAAATTTTTTTTCCTTCCTTTAAAGCAATAATTATTATTATTGTGAAAAGTTATTGATATTTAAGGCATGCATAAGTGTAATATTGTATTCAAGGGGGAAGCGGAATCATAGTAGGGTACTCTCTACATATATTTTATATATCACATAAATAAATTCAAAAACTCAAAGTCAATTAGTTACGATGGTAATTATGATTAACAGTTGTGATTATTAATAGTACAACAACAACAATAAGAATACTTATGATCATCACAACTATATATAAACAACAAGAATAACAGTCATAAACACAAAATTCTCAGACAAATGCTAATAATTGTAATCGTGAACAGACATAACTGGGACTGTAGAACTGTAGTAGAGAGTAAGGAGTTGTAACACACCTACTGGCCTGAAGATACACATACCTTTGCTGTGTATAGTGGCACTTAAGAGCTTGAGGAAGGCGCCTAATTGATAAGACTTGTCAATATAACGTTTGTAATCGCTTTGCTAGTAATGTCATTACACGTCGTTTTTGTTTTTTTTTTTTTTGTAACTACTATACTGTATTGTTGTTTTAGTTATTGCTGTTGTTGTTTTATGTTATTTAACAACCGTCTCGTTGGAAATCGTATTTGTATTAGACAGGCAACAGAGCACATATGTGTAAATAATTATCTTGTAAAAACACTCAAAATAGCAAATAAATTACATATGTTTTTCTTTTATTTTTTTACTGTTTTTTTTTTTACTTTTTTGTTTATTGTGAAAATTTTTACAAAAATAATATAAAAAAAAATTTATTTATTGCTTGATATTAGGTAATCGTTCCGTTAATGAGACCACAATCAAAACAGAAAACATATCAAATTCTGGTCATGATGAACCAATGACAACGACCACGGATGAACCTAAAAACGATAAGAAAAACAAACGTCAACGACGTCAAAGAACACATTTCACCTCACAGCAATTGCAAGAGTTGGAACACACTTTCAGCCGTAATCGCTATCCGGATATGTCGACGCGCGAAGAAATCGCTATGTGGACAAATTTAACGGAAGCCCGTGTTAGGGTAAGTAAATAATTTATTTTGAGATTTATTTAAAATATTTAAAAAAATGTTTCCTTTTTAAATTTATTTAAAATATTTGATTTAATTTTGATTTGAAATAAATTTAAAGGAAAAATCAAATAAGAACAAAAATTTGGAATGGCTATTAGTATTTTGTTCAGTTATGGGTCCAATCTTAGGTCGTGTTCGATTGGCAAAACTAGTGTAACTTTTTCACTCAATATCTACCTTTAGTACAGTCTTTATACTTAATTGTTTAATCTCAGATAAAATGTATAACACTCGGAATTATTGTATAAGACTAAAGATATTTTACCAGTTTAACAAAATTAACTTGAATTTAACAGTTGTTTGATAATAATATTTAGGGATTACCCTAAACGTGTTCGATTGAGCCACAAAATGCACGCAAAAATGATACATTCATTGCAAATTAAGATTGGCCAATGCAAAGGAACATTAAGACCTTTTAAGCTATGTTATATATAATAAATTTAACGTTTGCTTCGAAGAACATATTGACCGGTAACCTTTTTAAAAAAATTTATGAAAAAATCTCAATTATTCAACCATTAAAAACGTTTACAAATTAAAAAAATCAATAATTCACATGCCATACTTAAGTAGTTCATGAAAATTGATTTTGGATTAATTTTTAATGCTAACTACACTTGATGAATTCTACAGATTAAAAATAAGTATTAATAAACTCTGCCTGGTTAATCTTCACAAATTACCTATGCATTTATTAATGTTCCGTTCTGGGCTTAAGAATGAAATTTCCGTGTAAATTTTAAATAAGAAATACCAAAAAATAATAGACAAAAAATATTGTATTGGTTTCATCACCTTTTCAACAGCATCAAAGTAAGAATAGAACTTTAATCCATTAAATGCGTATAAACTGTTCGAAAACTGTTATAAAGATTAATTTAAATCTTTAATTTTATTTAAGTGTGGCATGGGCCATTATTAAAATAGTGTAATAATATAAACGGTAACAATTTATTACCATTCAATGTCTGAAAATTAAAAAACAAATTAAAAATAATTTTCTGCTTTCAAGCTAATAATTTAAAATTAAAAACAATAATAAGATTCATTAATTAAATAAATGAACTCAAATATAATTAAGCGGCCATTTTTATTAACCACAAATTGCAAATAATTTTGCGCCAACAATGATTTTTTGTTTATAAATTACAAATATTAACCAAAACAAACAAATAAATTTCAAGCAACAAAAACAATTTTATATATAACAACAACAAGTGCAAATAAATACGACAGCCAAGCGAAATGCAAAAAAACCACAAAACACGCACGAGCATTGACCGCAATAATTTTCAGTTGGTCACACTGAACGTTAAATACTCATACAGTATTTGGAGTATTTGTTAGCCATTTA